ACTGGATGATCTGGTGAACTGGAAAGTGACCTGAGATGACATGATGTGAATTGGAGCTATAGAAATAAACTGAATAGAATGTTAGTTTAATGAAGGAGCCGTTCTTTAAGTTTGGTCAGAAGAGATGTTGACCTGTTGCATTCATTCATGATTTTTATTCTTTTGTAAGAAAATAACCAAAAAAAAAGGGACAAAGAGCATCTGAAATGATATCAGTAACAAATCATAAAGTCAGACAGCAAACGGTGACGGATGAGATCAGAAAGGAACACGTTTAACTAGCAAACCAACCTCTACGCTTCTCCTGACAGGAGAAATAACACACGACACCAAGGAGTCCTTCTGCAGGTCTGCATATATTTCATTAGTGACATTCATCCATCAGAGCTTCACTTTAAAATGTCAGAGAGCATCAGCTGAGGCACCCTGATTGGAGGAGAGCTTCTCCACGTCCTCTAATCACAGAGCGGATCGGACCGAGCGACGCCAGCTCTACGTTTCCCATGGGGAGCATAAGGACACCTGGCAGAGGTCGCAGGCAAGCAGTCGCTTGGGTCGCTGAACACAAACCCTTAAATTTCATTTTTCACCACCGCAGACAGAAAAAATCCAAGGTTTGAAGAAGTTAAAACCAGGCTGCAGAGGGGCACGGCGAGAGGAAACGGATCAAACCCATGGGCAGGGAGAGGGGAAAATAAAAATCCAAAAATATATATTTAGGTTTAAATCCATATATATTTATATATATATATATTTACGAGGTATAGGTCCACAAAAAAATAAAACATCCAAAGTTTCAAAATAGGCATTTCTTCCAAATATATCCTCGCTAACGATGCCTCAGGTAGACATAAATATTAACAGAAATATTAATCCAAAAGGTTCTCCTGTCCAACAGCATCTCTGTGAGATGCAGACGAATCCATGAGATTCTCCAACATCCGGAGTCCAAACAGCCACTTCCAGCGCTTCTCTTCCAGAGTCAAAACCTAGAAAGATCCACCTCAAGCAAAAAAAAGACAAACTTCCTGAACTCTTCCACAGTTTCACAGCCTTCATCCAGGACGAGCCGGGCCTGAGAAGAACCGCCGAGGCTGGGAGGCAGGAGAAAAGTCTCACAGCTCCCAAAAAATAAAAAGGTGTCTTTGTGCAAGTCTCTAGAGTTTAATCCCAAACATAAACCCTCAGGCGGACCGGCGGGCGTCCTCCTGTTAGTTAGGCTGGCAGTAGAGGATCGCTGCCCACTGTAGTCATGCTAGGTACTGCTGCAACGCAGTCTTCGCCCTGAGAAAGACACAAACACGCCATCAGAACTCAACCTTTGGTCATGAGAGAGACGCTCGGGCACTGCTGCTGGTTCTGGCCCACCTGTCGCTGAGGTTGGGGTCGGTAGACTGTGTGAGTTTGTGCAGGGCGTCTACGAAGCCCATCTCCCTCAGCTTGTCTTGGCGATCCTGAGAACCTAATAAACGACAGAAGAGAGAACGTCAGAACTTTGCCTCGTTGCTGAAGCCTCCACACAGCATCGGTTCCACCATGGTGTTAACATTTCCCTTCACTTTCAAGCATCCAGCATCCTGAGGTGAGGGAAGCGTTTTCACGCTAGTTTGATGTTAACTAGAATTTAAAATCCTCCTTCTCACATATAAAGCCTTAAATGGCCAAGCTCCATCTTATATCAGAGATCTG